GGGAGGAAAAAGAAAGGAGACATATGTAATACTCTTTGTAATACTTTAAGCAATAAAACAAAATTAAAAAAGAAAAGAAAAGAAAACCTATGAGACCTATTAGACTCCATTAGGAGAACCAACATAAGAATGAACAGTCCATGAAGCTGTTAGACCATTTTACTATCATAATGCAAAAAAGATCCTCTCCAAGACATATTATAATAAAGCTATCAAAAGTTAATGATAAAAAATATTAAAGGCATCCAGCTAACAAAAAAAAAGAAATTATCCTACAAAAGAATCCCCATTAGTTAATAATCAGATTTCTTAGCAGAAACTCTGCAGGCAAGGAAAGGGTGGAATGACATATTCAAAGTATTGAAAGGTAAATATTGCCAGCCAAAAATACTCTAGTCAGCAAAGTTATCCTTTAGATATGGAAAAATAGAAGCTTGTTCAGTCAAACAAAAGCTGGATGAGTTCACCACCACTAGACCTGCCTTACAAAAAATGTTAAAAGTAATTCTCCTACCTGAAATAAAAAGACCAAAGTACACAAAACTTTGAGTAAGGTGATAAGTAGACAGAACTAGAAAATTGTAACTATTTTAAAATAGGGTGTTAAATCCTTAAATATAGCATAGAGGTTAAAGAAAAATGCATTAAAACTACTACAGAGACTAAAATTTGGTAAGGAACTTGCAGCAAAAAAGGGATCATTTGTGACAAAAATAATAGAAAAAGGGAGGAGGAAAATGATGGAAGCTGATCAATGTTTCTCTCTCATCGATGTTTCTGACTCTCTATCTCTCTTCCTTCCTCTCCATAAAAAAATCAATAAAATATATTTTTAAAAAAATCTAGAGTAAAGACATGAAACATAAAAAAGGGTAAAATTGAGCGCATTATTATAGACAGCTGCCAACTTTAAAGGGTAGGCTAAAACACAAGGAAAAATAAACAATAGAGATATACAACAGCCAGAAAACAAAAGATAAAATGGTAGTAGTAAGTCCTCATATATCAGTAATTACCATAAATGTAAATAAATTAAACTCACCAACCAAAGGCATAGAGTAGCTACGTGAATTAAAAAACAAGATCTAACTATATGCTGCCTTCAAGAAACTCATTTCAGCTCCAAAGACAAACACGGGCTCAGAGTGAAGGGGTGCAAGAGGATACTTCAAGCAAATAGTAACCAAAAGTAATCAGATATATCAGACAAATAGACTTTAAATAAAAAAAAATGGTAACAAGAGACAAAGAAGGCTGTTATATAATGAAAAAAGGTTACTATTTCAAAAAGGTATAAAAATTATAAATACATAGGCTCCCAACCTATGAGCACTAAAATATATTAATCATAGCATATGTTAATGGAGAAATAGAAAACAATATAAAAAGAGTGGGGGATTTCAATACCCCTCTATCAGCAATGGATGGAGTGTTCAGACAGAAAATAAACAAGAGAATGTGGGATTTGAACCACACTATAAAACAACAGAACTAGCCTGGCCAGTGTGGCTCAGGGATTGAGTGTCAACCTATGACCAGAAGGTCATGGTTCAATTCCCAGTCAGGGCACATGCCTGAGTTGTGGGCTCAATCCCCAGGGGGTTGAGGGGGGTGGCTTGGTAGTAGGCAGCCAATCAATGATTTTCTCTCATCATTGATGTTTTTACCCTCCCCCTCTCCTTTCCTCTCTAAAATAATATATATATTAAAAAAACACAAAGGAGCTAAACACACATACATAAAATATTCCATCCAACAGCAGCAGCAGAATACACATTTTCTCAAGTGCATATGGAGTATTATTCAGGAAAGATTCTATAATAAGCCACAAAACTAATCTTAAAATGTAATCTTTTCTCAGACCACATTGGCATGAAATTAGAAATCAAGAGAAAAATGAATAGATCTTCAAATTTGTGGAAACTAAACAACATACTTTTAAATAACCAATGGTTAAAAGAAGAGATCAAAAGGGAAACAAAAAGATATTACCTTAAAACAAGTGAATATGAAAATGCATTTCAAATTTTGTGGGGTGCAGCAAAAGCAGTTCTGAGAGGTATGTTTATAGCAACAAAAACATATGTTAAGAAATTAGAAAGATCTTAAGTATACAACTTACCTTTGCATTCAAGAAACTAGAAAAAGATGATACAATTGAGCCCAAAGTTAGCAGAAGGAAGGAAATAATTAAAAGCAGAGAGAAATAAATGAAATAGAGATCAAAGAAACCAAACAGGTTCAACAAAACTGAAAGTTGATTCTTTGAAAAGATAAACAAAATTGGCAAACCCTTAACTAGACTAAGAAAAAAGAAGGAAGACTTAAATAAGTACAATTATAAATGAAAGAGGAGACATTACAATTGATACTACAAAATTATAACCATAAAGACAAACAATCCAATTTAAAAACTGGCAAAGAACTTGAATAGACAACATACAGATGGCCAATAGACATGAAAAAAATGTTCAACATCACTAATCACCAGAGAAATGCAAATTAAAACACAATGAGATATCACAGCACACCTATTAGAATGTCTATCATTAAGAAAACAAGAAACAACGGATGAAAATCCAAAAAGAAACAATAGATACAGGTGAGGGTATAGTGAAAAGGGAACCCTCATATAATGTTGGTGGGAATATAAATTAGCCCAACCACTATGGAAAACAACATGGAGGTTTCTCAAACATTAAAAATAGATCTTCCATACAATCCAGCTATTCTACTTCTGAGTATGCTTTATACCCAAAGGAAATGAAAACAGGATTTTGATAAGATATGTGTACTCCCATGTTTATCACTGCATTATTCATGATAGTCGAGATATGAGAACAACCCAAATGCATGAATGGTTAATAAAGATGTGATATGTATATACACAATGGATTCACCCATGAGAAGAAAACACATCCTGCCATTTGAGACAACATATTTGGACCTTGAGCACATTATGCTAATGTAAGATAAGTCAGACAGAGAAAGACAAGTACTATATGAAATCATGAATATGTGAATTCTAAAAAAAAATAAATCCTACCTATAAAAAAAAACAATCACAAAATGAAATGATGGTTACCAGGGGATGGAAGGTGGGGGTAAGATTGATGGTATTTAGGGGTACAAACTTGTAATGAGTAGTAAATAAGCCATAGAGACTTAATGCACATATAATGAATACAGTCATTATTACTTACTATAATGATGTAATGTGATAAATATTGCTTCAACTGCAATCATATTACAATATATAAATATATGAAAGTAACATACTGTATACCTTGAATTTATAAGTTGTAATATCAAATTTATCAAATAAAATAAATGTTATACATAAAAGAGTTTTAAGAGAGAATAAGTAAATAACTATGGAGTGAATTTTCTATCTCTCATAATAATCCAATATTGTGCCTTTGAAGATTTAATTTCCCCCATTAATCTTCTTCCTCTCATTTTCTTCTCTTATAATCCTACCCATTCATTGAGGCTCAATCGAAAAGCCTTTTGTTGTGCCTCAAACCTACATATGGTCCCTCATGTGAAACTTCATTGTCCATCCCTGCATTTTGCCACTTTATATTCTAGTTTTTAATTCCTGGATTGTAAGCTTTTGAAAGGTAGTGACCTGAAGTTTGTTCATCTTTCACTTCCCATGTTTGTTGCATGACTAAATGTTTGTAAAAATTGTAGAGGAAAAACATTCCTACGTTGGAATTGGAGGCTCCATGCCTAACTGGGGCATGCCCTGCTACAGTTATTTTAGACATGGCTGATGGTAACTCAAAAAAAGAACAGGGCTGGAGAATGCTATATCTGAGTCCAGTCCATCTTATTTTGTAGCAGGAAATTTACAGGGCTTCATTATAATTAAGGAATTCTATGCAGGGTGGCTCTCCATCAGCCCATTACCTATGACCTACTATTATAGATTCTGCTGTTTTATTCTGGGTGGCCTTTTCTGTTTAAATCCAGAAATGTCCTGTAAATGCTAACACATACCAACTAATACCTTTGTTATCTGTGAGCATCTCAACCTGGGTCATAAAGATCAGTTTGTGGAGAAGTTGCAGAGAGGAATTGATGAAAAAGATAAGGGAAAGGAAAGAGTTTGTGCTATTGAAGCATGAGTATTCCTAAACAAATTTCAATTTCATTCACTATTGCTAAGACACAGGCAAGCTATGCAATTGTGCCCTGAAAGCTATGGTCCAGATAGTCATAGCTCCCATTCATTTATTGGCCCTCTATTATCCTTCCTAGCAATTATCTAGTTTATGAACATTATTTCTAAACCTTAAAACTGTTTATAATTACTCCATTTTTCAAATGAGAAAATTGTGATTCAGAAAGGTTAAATTACATAGTCATGATTGCCCATCTAGTAAATAGACAAAGATTTGAATACAAACTTACACTCCCCTCACCCCCTCTGATATGCTTACTGCCTTTTTAAATAGGTGGCTTCTGTTAGCCAGCTGGGCATAGGGAAAATGGTAAGGAAGACAGAAATCTTTTCTTGACAGGCTGGTATATTCTCATTGCCCTTGCCATGCATTATTTCAGAACCTCAAATTGCTATGGAAAACTCAGTGTTACCCCTTTCTGACTTGGTATTGGCCTTTATAAAGAATAGGGCAGGAACCAGGATGGCTAATCCTTCATCTCTCACCAGGAGGAAATTTAGCTAGTGTCTTTGTTTTTGTGCAAAAGAAAACGAAAATGAATTTGTGATATGCAAATGAATCTCTCGACTGTTTGTTAATTTCTACTGTTTACTCAAAAGTGGGAAACACCAGGCCTGTGATACATCATCTTTTGTGCGCTTGGCACCTTCCATCACAAATCATATTAATCTGCTCAAACTAACAAGGATTAATTGCCTCGGTAAGGCAAACCAGCATTGTGATGATATATTGCCCAGACAGCCTGGAATCTGGCCACTCATAAATCCCATTTCTGGTTGGTTTATTTCTGTTTGTCTCTTTCTCTGACAGATGTGTGCCCAATCACTGTGAGCATGGTGGGAAGTGCTCACAAACGTGGGACAGCTTCAAATGCACTTGTGATGAGACTGGATACAGTGGGGCCACCTGCCATAACTGTGAGTGCCAATTCACCTCACTTTGAACTTGTACTACATGAGACTCCCAGGTCTTCAGCTGTGCTTTAAAACTCAGCAACCTGAATTAATCCACATACTAAACCACTCAATTCGGAAGAACCCAGATTTGTTGTTGTTTCTCCAGAACAGTATTCTAGGTGTCAAAATATATTCTTTCATGCCTAACGACTCAAAAAGAGAGGAACATTTCTAATGATCTGTAAACATGTAATTAAAATTGGAATGCTGATCTTGGCTTTGACTCAATGTGCCCAAGCCATGTCTATCTGGGTAAATTGGAAAATTCTGGTAGTGTGATGTCTCTGACTGGATCCTCATTTATCAATTCATCAGAGAGGCAGACAGAGTGTAATTTGAACATTTAGTTTCTTGGAAATGATTGTCTCATGTTCTGTCACAACTATTTGGACACATTTATTTAGAGTAGAAAAAGAAAAGTTAGAAAATGGAATGAAGCCCATTGAAGTGATATCAAAAATAAAAACAAAAAGAGAGAATTTTTTATTATTAAAAATAAAAAGTAACATGCAAGAGTGACTAGTGAAGCATAGAAGGGCCTTGTTTTATATAATAGCTTCACCCTGAAAAGGTAAGTAAACTTAATGTTTTATAATTCAAAGAACATTTTTAAAGGAATACTAACTCTATAATTGTAATATTAACTTTCCAAAAATGTATTGCTGTTTACAGAGCACTTTTTAAGACAGACAGATTTGCCATAAAACATATAGTTGAAAGACAGTCGTGTGTGTGTGTGTGTGTGTGTGTGTGTGTGTGTGTGTGTGTGTATCTCGGGAGGAAGGAAGGGAGAAAGATTTAGCCTCCTTCAGTCATCACACAATATTCTGAAAGACTGAAAGTCTCATGTCTAAACCCTCTTACACAGACTGCTTTCTCTTCACTTTTAAGAAGCAATCACAAACAAAATATGATCAGGATGGAGTTCTGGGGACAGTAAAAATGCAATATAGTTCTCTGAGCCTTTTCTATCATTATTTGTAGTCATATTCAGCCAGAGAGTGTGTTCAGAATATATTGGGAGACTTCAACTAAGAAAAAATATTTGTAATTTATTTTATTGCACTTATTAATTTGTTTAGACAGATATTTAAAAACAGGAGACAAAAAGAACTAAGAAATTAACAATAATAGGAAGATATACAAGATAATAAAAAACAGACAGTAACTCATCATCTGAAAAATATTGATATATATAGGTATTGAGAAAGTATAAAGAACAAAACTGATATTGAAATTAGTTACAATAAAAGAGTTATAACTAAAATTTCCAATCACACCAAATGTTCACGTTCAGCATATAATACTCATTATATAAGTATTAGATAACTTTAAAAAACTAAATATTTTACTCCACCAGTTTAATTTATATAGTATTGTCCTATAAATGCCACCTTTACCTATAAGGGACTTTGTTTCTGAATATGGAAACACTAAAGTAAAACAGCAAGAAATTGGTGGTTGTTTTAAGGGTTTCCTATGCTAGTGAACACTTTGATATTGAATTGAAAAGCAAATTATATTTTACAGCTGCTGAAATAGCAAAGAAAATTTTTAAAACTATTTTTACATTTAAAAATATTAAAAATATGCTACTGGTTGAATAGTTGAGTTTTTAAAAACAGTAATAACTATAAGTATTAGAAACATCCTACATGTGCTTAGGTTTGGCTCTAGTGCGAGCTGTAAATGTATAAGAAGAAAATTATCTCCATCCTGCTGCTCATTCCTACTCTTACTTGTTACATTTTTATATCTACAACAGTAGAATCATGCATTTTAACAATTTGACCCTGATCCCTCATTGTCTTCTTTAAATGAGGCCAAAATCTTGAAAATCCAGTGTGTGCTAGATAGAGCTTCAAAGACCATAATGCACAATTCAATAAAGAGTTGACTGGCCATTGTTTTGTTGTGAGAAAAAAAAAAATATACCTGGTAGCTTATTGAAGGGTAAGTGCATCCTATTAAACTGAAAGACTAGTACTATCTCTTCCTTACTCCCGTTGATTATTTAAAAGTTGGGAATGTCTGGCCCAGTAAATAACAGTGTAAAAATCTATAATAATAAAAGCGTAATATGCTAATTAGACTGGACGTCCTTCTGGATGACCTTCCAGAAGAAGCCAGGGCTGTGAGGGAAGCCCGGGTCCCATGTGCCAGAGGGAAGGGTGCTGGCAGCTGGGGGAAGGAAGGCCTACTCGTGCGCAAATTTCATGCATGGGGCCTCTAGTATCTATATATATGAAGAGATAATATGCAAATTAGACTAGGACGCCATAAGGTCACAACCAGCTCACGAGGAGGAGTCAAGCACTGGCCCAGAGCCTGAGAGAACAACAGACAGGACGACTCCAGAGCAGACACAGGCAGCGGGGTGGGGGGAGATGGGGGGCTGGGGCGGAAGTCAGGCCTGGGTCCTGGCCACCTGCAGCCCTGACTCCTGCGGGCCAGCGCTGCGCGAGTCAGTGCCCGGGTCTCGGCTGCCAGGCCCTGACTCCCACGGCGGCCTGAGAAGTAGACAGAGGACAGACCACTAAGGCTCTTCTATACCATAGCAGGGAGCTTCGATTTTATTCCACAGAAGGAGGAAAAGTGAAGAATGTCAAGCATGGGAGCATCCTGGTCTTGCTTTCATTTTAAGTGAACCATTCTGGGGGCTGTGGGAAGGATCAGTTTAGACAGCTGTGGGTTTGGGGGCCCAAAAAAAAAGAGAGACTGACGTTGGGCACTAGGACCAGACAGAGGCAGTGGATCAGAGACAGATTTATGAGGAAACCTGGCGGAACTATTTGGCTGATTACACAGGGGTGAAAGCAAACACAGCAAATGGTATTAGCCCAGGTTTTCCAGTTTGGGCAACATGGTTGGATGGGTGATTCTAATAATTGGGAGAAGGTATCGAGGAAAAGGAACAGTGTAAGGGAGCTTGCTTAGTTCAGCAATAGCCAAACAATTAGGACAGAAGACGGACTTAGTGCTCTTTCTTTGCTGCAACGTTTGTTTTTCTGCCTTCAGCCACCACCATGTAAGGCTAATGTACCACCTTTTCTCCTAATCTAGGATATTATCTATCTACTACACATTCCTATCACCTAAATTAGCTTTCCTGCATGATCCCTTAGAAATACTGAGGAAACATTATGAGCCTATATAGATTGATAAAGAGATATTGGGTGCTCAATTTTAACTTTAAAAATCAGATACTGAATGTGACCATGCCAGAGGCATAATTTTAATGAGCCAATGTCTCTTTATTGAAGTGTCACACTTCAAAAGAGATCCTCTCAAATAATACAATGCGTAACACTCATCTGGGTTGCCTGTTAAAATGTAGGACTACACCTTGAAAAACACTCCTTCTAGAGCTCATTTTGGTGGATAAATCTCCCCCAAGTAAAGCAATCCTATAAATAAAAGTGTAATAAGCAAATTGACCAATCGCCGGAACAACGGGTCAGTGAGGGGTAGAGGCGACGAGCAGGTATCGCTAGGCCAGCCAAGGTGCATGCCAGTGGGCAGAGGGAGGGGATGGCAATGGGGTGGGGGGGATGGCAGCAACCGGCAGAGGCGGGGCAATGGGGGCTGGTGCCATCCCCTAATCATCCAGCAGCTGGGCGATTCCGGGCACAGCCGCCCAGCACCATCCCCAGATAGGCCTGCTGGGGTTGCCTCCCGCAGAGGGAGGCCACCAGTGGCTGTGGTACAATTGGGGGTGGGGCTGGCTGCTCACTGTCCACACCATCCTGATCGGCCTGCCAGTTACCTCCCGTGGAGGGAGGACAGACTGTGGCTTAGGCCCGCTACCTGCTTCCCTAAGCTGTCAGTAGCACATCCCCCAAGGGGTCCCCGATTGGAGAGGGTGCAGGCTGGGCTGAAGGAACCCACCCCCCCGCACAAATTTCGTGCACCGGGCCACTAGTATATAATATATGCCATTCAGTTTGATACAGAATGTCTGGCCCAGTAAATAACAAAAGTTGGGAATGCCTGGCCCAGCAAATAACAATGTAAAAAATATATATACTATACTAGTATGTCATTCAGAGGAAAAACTGAAACGTTTTGCATTTTTTCTTAGTCTGTGACTGCATTCATAGCAAGAGCATTGGAGTGAAAAGACAGCGGCTTCGTGCTAGCTGTGAGATGATCATTCTGTGTGCCCCTGTAAGTCTTCACTTTTCGTGGACTTCCTTTATTCCTCTCTTGATCAAATGCTTCTGGGGTCTCTTACAGTTCTAAAAGCCAGTGAGCTGAGACTTCCAATCACTTATTCTGTCTTCTGTGGTTTTGAACTTGTTAGTGTTATTAAATATTTCACCTCACTTTCTACAGAGAACTAAGCATCCTTTTGAAAAGGAGTTATGTTAATTTTATAGTACTCCTTTAACGAGGTAAAGAACAGCTAAGTCAAGTCCAAAGTTTATTATAACTCAATATTCAGTAGAGTTTCCAATGTTACAATTAGGCTACCATTTCAGCACATTTTTACATGGCCCAAGCTTGGTCAGGATGAGATAGTTATTTGTCCGGTACCCGTGATCATCCATGCCAGAGGTTGTAGTCCAAGGTGGAACCTGGAAGCCCTTTTATGATAGGTCACACTGCCTGAATTTGAACTTGGCTGTGCCACTTACTTACTTGTAACCTAGGGTTACAAGTAAACTATTTGAGCTTCAGTTATCTCCTGGGTGAAACGGGTATAGTAACAGCACCCTCATAAAGCCACTGTGAGATTAAATGGGATGCCTCATGGAAGACACGGAGGTGGGTTTAGCATATGTTAGTCTCAACAACATTTTGCCATTTTTTTCCTTTCAGAATAATCATCCCTCTGCTCTGAACTTCTATACCAATAATCGCCCACATCACACTTTTTGTCATTTAATTTCATGCTGCTAATCATGGTTTGCTCTCATTTCCATGGCAGATTGGGCTTGCAGTGAATGATTGGTTCCCAT